ATATTTTACAGTGTTTTTAACTTGTCTTCTACATTTTTAGTGACTCCCTATTGTTTCCAGTTTTTAGCAGCTTAGTGCTAGTCTATCCCCCTCTCCCCTGTGTGTTACATTAGGTACACCAGAATACCTTTCTTTTATTAGCAATGGTGGTATGTTGCTTTCTTTTATTCATCAGAAAGATTCATCAGATATGTTACATTACCGACTCTTCTTTAAATAAAGAAAAGATCGTTAAACATTTTTATTATTTAACCATTCAAATAATGTAATAGAAAATATTTTCACAAGCAGCAAAAATCACATGACATTGGAAGGTGCAGAAAGACAAAACATTGTTATCCCAAGTTTAACACCATTTGAACCATCCTGGGTGGAGGATTTTATGAAAGGTTGAAAGAATAGGTTACGGAAATTAGTTACTCCATGATGAATAAGATCAAATCAAAAGGCAGAGAATACAAAACAGTTGACAAGAAAGATAGCATATTTTTGTATCACACAACAAAACATGCAGTAAACAAAATGTGAGGATCATTAGGAGACAATGACATATCTTACAGAACATAAAGACACAAATTAGTGAGTTTCAGGGTTTTCCATTGATGAATGTGACGATTTAGGCACAAATAGAAATAGAACATGTCCATACCTCTAATTAAGTTTCCATGAAGCGGCAATCGTGCATCAATTGTCATGGGAAAACAAATCAGATTAATTACTTTTTCATATACAACTAATTGAATAGAATTGACTTGTGTAAGTGATCATGTGGGTCAATGTGTGTGTTGAAGAGACCAATCAAAAATAAAATCGAAATTGTTCGAACATGATCAACCACTGGAACAACTTTTCACATCCTTGTCACTTTCACAAAATATGACAACATGTGCAATTAAGAACAGATCCAAGTAATAGATTTTGCTCTTAAATTTAAAAGAAGGAAAACATCTAACAGATACCAAAAACACCTATGTTGGACAGGTGAATTACATACATTGCATTTAAAATGGCTGAATGACACACTTTCCTTGTCAGATAAATGAAATAAATTAAATGCACATGGCTATTTACTAAAATTTGAATTGCTGGGAATTCAAAGTACATTTTAAACAGATTTTACACTTTAGGCCAAAGTAGCTAAAACTGAAACATTCGCCAAGTCAGTTTGGATATTTTGAATTTTTAAAAAAAAATTCATTTTGAATTCAAGCCTATGAGTGCATTATTCAGTTAACAGCCATTAACTTACCTTTGTCCTTAGAATCTATCACTAACAACGTGGGATTGGTCCGAAATTGATATTCTCAGGGACATTACTAAAAAAAAACTGGGGCATATTGAGATGGATGCGAGCAGCTGCATTTTGGATTTGTTTTAGAGGAGTGATGGGGTGCTTGAGGAGAGCCAAGCAGGAGAAAGTTGCAGTTATCCTAGCCCGATGATGAGAGAATGGATACGCAGCTTAGCAACAAATAATTTTAGGAGAGGGTGCATTTTTTGGATATTGATGAGGTCAAAGCAACAGGTGCAATTAATACTCCAAATATGTTTCTTAAAGAAGAGAGAAAAGTCAAAGATGACACATAGGCTGCGTGCTGTGGGTGAGAGGGAAATGGTCTGGGACTGGGGATCAAAGAGAATAGAAGGTGGTGGTAGGTTGGGTGAGATAAATGGGGGATAGAAGAGCAGTACTGTTTTGGATTGGTTAGTTTGTGAGACTATCCATGAGGCACTGTCAGAAAGGCAGGGAGGAACATACGGTAGATTCTCCCTTGTATATTATTGAAAAACATTCTCACATAACATAAGATTGAATAAGTCATCATCTCCTCTTCCTTAAATTTACCAGTTGAAATGTTGAGAAGAGAAGGAGAAGTGCTCCACTTAACCACTCAAATTTCTAATAATTCACAGTAGTGAATAACCCTGGCAAGGAGAATAAAGAAGATTTAAGTGGTGTCTGGGGTCCTTCGGCGCTCTCCTACCATTTAGCACTGTTTTTAATTGTTTTAATGCTTAATTGTTTTAATTGTTTAATGCTAAACAACAGTTCCCAGCTGATGTGAATCACGTGACCAGAACTGCGAAAAGGGGCGGACAAGCCCAAAAAAGGGGGCATGTCTGTCCAAAGAATTGGAAGGCCAGCCTGGCATCGGTGTCCCTATGTATCACAGTGTCAGTGTCCCCATGTCGCCCAGTCCCCTAGTCTCCCAGTGTCCCCATGTCTCAGTGTGTTCCGTGTCACTAGGATACTAGGGGACACTGAGAGACATGGGGACACAGTGAGACCCGGGGACACTGAGACACTTGGAGACATGGGGACACTGAGACATTTGGGGACACAGGGAGAAATGGGGACACAGACACTAGGGACACAGAGACATTGGGACACAGACACTGGGATACATGGGGACACTGATACATTTGGGGACACTAAGACACTAGGGACACTGAGAGACATGGGAACACAGACACTGGGAGACATGGGGACACTGGGAGCCATGGGGACACTGAGACACTAGGGACACTGACTGAGAGACATGTGAACACTGAGATACTTGGGGACATGGGGGCACTAGGGACACTGAGAGACATGGGGACACAGACACTGGGAGACTAGGGGACACTGGGAGCCATGGGGACACTGAGACACTAGGGACACTGACTGAGAGACATGTGAACACTGGGAGACATGGGGACACAGACATTTGGGGACACTGGGAGCCATGGGTACACTGAGACACTAGGGACACTGAGAGACATGGGGACACAGACACTGGGAGCCACGGGGACACTGAGACACTAGGGACACTGGCTGGGAGACATGGGCATACTGTGAGACATGGAGACACTGTGTCCTAAGTGTCTCTGTGTCCCAATGTGTCTCTCAATGTCCCTATGTCTCACAGCGTCCCCATGTGTCTCAGTGTCCCCATGTCTCACATTGTCCCCTAGTGTCTGTGTCCCCAGGTCTCCCAGTGTCCCCTAGTGTTTCAGTGTCCCCAAGTGTCTCAGTGTCCCCATGTCTCCCTGCTGCCTTTCCCCTCATCCCTCACTTCCCTGAGCTGAAGTCTGTCTCTGCAGGCTGTGAGCTGCTGTCTGAACTCTTTGTGCTGTGTAACTCCTCCCCCGCAGATCAGTGAGTAGAGAGAGGCAGGGGGGGATATGCTGTAACTTCCAATCCCTGCCTCTCTCCACATACAGTGACTCCCTACTGGCTGGTGCTGGTTTATACTGAGAAAAATATCTGCATTTGTATTGCCGGTATTACTGCAATACCAGCACGGCTAGGCAGCCTCAAATACCGACTGTGCTGGTAAAATACCAGTCAGGTGGCAAACCTAAAAATAGCGTGTTAAAAAAAAAAGTAAAAACATTTTTTTTTTAAATGGGCCTATTCCATGGGCCTGGGCCTAGGCCTGGAGCTGCAGCTCCATCAGCCCCTATGTTAATCCGGCCCTGTGTCAGAGGAGTCCAGGCACTATAATCAATTTAATAAATTTAAATGATTATGGTGCCTACAATATCCCTTTAAGGAATATAGATTCAAGATTATAGCATGTCCAGTAAATGAAATGTACTGAGAAAAACATGAATCCCCATTGTAAATACTGACAGTATAATATGCCAGATAGTGAAAAAACCTGAATCCCCATCATAAAATACTGACGGTACCATATCCCTGATAAACCCCAACCTCCCCAGATAACCAACCTAGCCCAGGAGACCAGGTGAATAAACAACAAGTCAGTCAAACCAACAAACAACAAGGGGAGGGAGAAACTGGGAGGGAAATATTCGCCTCCTGTCATTAATAAAATTAAGATTATAGTTACACTAAAGATAGTATAATCTACAATTTTATAGCATGACAGGAGGCTTCATATTTGCTGTTTTAACGCTCGGACAGCAAAGACCCGAGAAACACGATCCGCCATACCAACCTAAACTCTGTGAAGATAGCTCCTTGTAACCGGCAGGAAAGCGTATGATGCCTTGGAGAAAAACGCCCGCCATGTCGGTACCTGAAGTCGCCGTGTTACTGACTGAAGTGAACCAAAAAAACCTATACGCCCCGCCAATGCCAACCACATGAAGGGCGAGAAAAAGGGAAGAACCATTTAAACTAACGGTGACGTCGAACACCGCCTAAAGGTGGGAGCGCTACCAAAGTAAGAATATGACCCTCAGGTTCAACTAAGGCTGATAGACAACTAAGGTCCGAACTGCCAAACCCATCTGAAAGTAAAACAAGGTATAATAACGGAAATAAATCCAGAGTCAGTGAATGGGCAAAAACCGACAGAACCCACCATAGGAGCATGACAAAAATGCGTGTACCCCCTGGGGAGATGAATACCCATCATCAGGAATCGTAAAGGGAATTCTAAGCAGAGCGAGGTCCGCCGACAACAGTCGTACGCGCTACCTAATCTAAATAATATGGCAGTCCCCGGTAATAAAGTGACCGAACAATACCCGAACCCTGTAAAAGCGGTAGCAAAATTAGGAGATCCGTACCAGACCCAACTACGTCAGGGTCGCCATGTAGACCAAAGTCTCAGATCCCTTTCCCAAGCACCTCCAGTGGTCCAAATTGCGTTTAGGATAGGTTAGTCTGCCACCCCAGAATCGGGGCCCCGTCTGGGATGTCATCCGTAAGTGGAAGCAAGTGTGAAATTGCGGGTCAAGGGTCCAATCCCCTAGAAAAGGTACGCGTTGGAGCTGAGATAAGCCTCTGTCAAGTATTTCCATGTAAAAAAGGACACATATTATACTTCCTCGTATGTTCCGCTAGCTCGTGTAGCGGAGAACAATCGGCTTGCCAGTGCGGACTTAATAGTATAGGCACTGCAGAGCAGCAAAGAAAGAGGAAATAGTTAGTTGGGAGAAGCCTTTTATAGATTCCTGATTTTTCTGTCTCTGGTGTTTTTATCTCTATGTTAATGTGCTGCTGTGGAGTTCTACTAAAGAGAGACTTAAGCAAATATGAAGCCTCCTGTCATGCTATAAAATTGTCTAATTAAGTTGCTATGTGATAAAGTTATTAATACCTTTACAACGACTTTTGTGAAGGTCAAAACGTTGCTGTATGCACGTTGTTCCAATAGGTCTGCTTAATGTAGAGCCCAGTAAGTGCCTGAAAGCCTTTTTTGAAAGTATTAATATGAATTTAGGCTTGAGTTTAGAATTTCTTAATTTATTAGAAAGTTGCAGTGAATTCAAGACCAACTTAGAATGTCTGAATCAAGGCCTAAATTGCATAGTTAAGAAAATTTTTCATGTTGGCTATTTTATTCTAAAAGCATTAAACCTTTGGCCCTTCATATAGACACAATGCATAATTCTGCTGACGTTATCAGTGTGCTTCACAAGGTTCTGAGGTTGAGTTTCTTAGCATGTTGAATGACAATGACCAATGACACTAAGCTGTATAAACCCTGTGAGCCATCAGTTATTGCAATGCTGTAACTCTAGTTACTCAAGTCTACGTTCTTTTATACCGTTTATCACTGACACGAGGCTTCATCTATCATTTCTATGTATCTATGTAGTCCTGGACTTTGTCTCTGTTTACAATAGCCCGAGACACAGACCTTTTTTTCACTTGGGAAAATGTTTGTGCAAGCAGTTTCTCATCCACTACCAATGGTGCTAGCTTAATGGATCTCTGCTGCCCCAGTGTCTTATAAAGTGATATAAAAGGTACTGTGGGCATACAAATATGTTTGAGCAGTGGCAGAGTAAGTATAAGGTATTAGTATTTGCAGCTTTCTATCTTTCCCAGCAAACACCGTCTCTTATTCCACAATGGTCTTCCCCTCAGATCTGTGCTTGACACATTGGATAGTGGTTGAGTGGAGCACTTCTCCTTCTCTTCTCAACATTTCAACTGGTAAATTTAAGGAAGAGGAGACGATGACATATTCAATCTTATGTTATGTGAGAATGTTTTTCAATAATATACAAGGGAGAATCTACCGTATGTTCCTCCCTGCCTTTCTGACAGTGCCTCATGGATAGTCTCACAAACTAATCAATCCAAAACAGTACTGCTCTTCTCTCCCCCATTTATCTCACCCAACCTACCACCACCTTCTATTCTCTTTGATCCCCAGTCCCAGACCATTTCCCCCTCACCCACAGCACGCAGCCTAGGTGTCATCTTTGACTTTTCTCTCTTCTTTAAGAAACATATTTGGAGTGTTAATTGCACCTGTTGCTTTGACCTCATCAATATCCAAAAAATGCACCCTCTCCTAAAATTATTTGTTGCTAAGCTCCATATCCATTCTCTCATCATCGGGCTAGGATAACTGCAACTTTCTCCTGCTTAGCTCTCCTCAAGCCCCCCATCACTCCTCTAAAACAAATCCAAAATGCAGCTGCCCCCATCCATCTCAATATGCCCCAGTCTTTTTGTTAATAACGTCCCTGAGAATATCAATTTCTGACCAATACAACTTTGTTAGTGATAGATTCTAAGGGCAAAAGTAAGTTAATGGCTGTTAATTGAATAATGCACTCATAGGCTTTAAAGTTTTATCTGAGCATAGACATCTGCACGTAGTGTTCAAAAACTATTTCAGGACTTCATCCCTGAGAAATATTGGTTTAAAGGATATGTGGTGTAAGTGGCAACATTCAAAATGTATAATCCTTTTCAAATCATACTTTATAACAAGCAAGGAGGAATTACAAACTATAGTGCATCTAGTATTACATAAAACAAATTTGCCTGAACTCCATTCCCCATGGTCATCGTGAACTTCCTTAATACAAGATATATAAAGTAGAAGGAATGCTTTTACAATACGGCTTTGAAGGTAGGTGTCGTCTCAGAAAACAGTAAGTTGTAGTGGCTACAGATATGACCAGCATAACAAAGATGGTATAAATCTTCAGCTCTCCTGAATTGAATAGTGAAGAAATCCCCGCAATTTGCGGAAAATACTACACTTTCTAGTTTTCCTTTCCATAAAACCCTCAGTTTAAAAATAATAGCACAATCGCAGTTTTATTTAAATATTCTATTCAATAATGTTAGAGGGGTATATTCAGTAAACAGTTTTAAAAGTGCTAGAAAGGAGAATGATAATTTGGCAAGAAGATCATGGGTATAAGATTTTGGGATGTGATAGTACGAGAGCAGAGAGGGTGGGTGTAGGTATAGCGGGATAGCGGGTGAGGAGATTAGGAGGAGGCAAAGTTGTGTGTGTGTGGGGGGGGATTGACAAACTTTATTTGCACAGATTTTTTTGACAGCATAGCACAGTTAAGGCAACAGGCTGAACAAATAGCATTGAAAAGCAATCAGTGTATAGTGAACAATTCACAATTAAACTTGGGATGCAGTATAGTCTGCAGGTACCACATAGTATGTGCCTCCAAGACTAACAGCTAAAGTCTCCTTGTGTGGGGGATGAAAATAGGGCACTGATGAATAAGCCAATGGAGTCTTTGACTCAGTCAGTAAGGATTGACTCTGTCAATAAGAGATGACTTGACCAGGTAGAGATAACTCACGGAATGCTCACGGAGCGATAGCCTGGTTGGTGAAACAAGGCAAGGTATTAATTCATTCACATTGTATCACACTAAGGGTAACGTTACAAAGGAAAGATCAGTTAAGTACTGTGTATATTTTTTTAAACTTTCAACAATTTCTGTTTCTTATCAGCCACATATTGTTCTCCACCCTTAACTGTAACTCTCGCTGTGACATTACATTTTCTTCTCACAGACAAGAAAGGAAATAGCAGAGGGGGTCTGAGGAAAAGGAGTTTCCAAAAAGAGCATTATTAACAAAAAGGCTAGATAGCAATCACCGAAATTGTATAGCGCATATGTGGTCACTAGAGAAAATACTCTGGTTCATAAATATTACATTATCATTCTTAAATTGCATGGTATTTAATGAAGGAGATCTTTAAAAAGATACCCAAACCACCAAATATTCTACAGTATGGGTCTTTGGTGCCTTCTTCTTAGTGTCTTGTTTAACAGGGATGTGCATGAGCAAAAAATTCAGTTCGGTTCGGACTTCTGAAATTCGGGACTTCGGCAATTTGGGACTTTGGTTCGGTTCAGCACTTCGGCAATTCGGAAATTTGGACCAAAACGAAATGTCTGTTGTTTAATAAACTTGCATGGAATTCAGATCTAAGCATCTAAACCATTAGTGTGTTCAGTTCCCTATCAAAATCTGGCCTATTTGAGCCCTCAACAGTGTTTAATTAACTGAGAAATTCAGTAGATCTCTCACAGTGGACTATGGTTGTGAGAAATTCCAGTGTGCATTGACAAAGACTGCTCAAGGTCACAATGTTTCTGCTTCGTTGTCTCGTATGCCTTAAACAAGAAACATTAAATGATGCTTGATTGTGCCTGTCATTGAGGTATTTATTCCATCGTTGGTTCTATGTTGTTCTTGTTCAGAGTGTTTGTTAACACATACACCTTGCTCAACATTCTCTCTAACTAACCCTAAAAGCAGGAGCATTCCAGAACATATCAGATAGGTTGCCACTAAAGATAAAGGTATGGTAGATTCCATTTGATGACACCTTCTGCACCTAGCATAGCTTTGGGGAAGTTTATTGTGTTATCTGAAAATCCACACATCCATTGACTGTTCAGCTAGTTCAATATGTAGATTGAACATCGGATGGGTTTAAACAGAATTTTTGACATTGTATGTGGAACAAAAGTCCCTTTATGGATGATGGTTTCCAATTTGTTTTCCATTTCAGATAAAAAAATTTTAATCAGGTGCTAGGTCTTAGCCCAGTGGATATTTTTTTGGGGGGAGGGAAGATGGGGGGGGGAGGGGGCGGTAAGCAGTCATTGTTTTGTAGGTGTGAAACTTTACAGTATTTAAACCAGCATTACAGTATCCTAGCAGGTAATTTAGATAACTTGAATAATTTCATCAACAGCACTAGATCCCCTGCTATTCAGATACTAATGATGCAGAAATGCAACAAAACTTTACAAGCAAACTCAGTCAGCCTTATAGGGTACTTTGTCTTTCAGACTGCAATTATCCACACACTGAGCCATTTACAAGAGAGGTGATTGGCTGTGCACAAACCCTTTACCATGCAAATAAGACAGCTGAGTCACAGCTTGTAATTAATTATGATGTTTACCATTACTTTTATTTCATAATTCTTACAGAGCCCTGCAAAAGAAACCTATAACAGCTAATGAGATTCTGTGTTCTAGTATTCATTAATGGGTCAGTGGTTAGGGCAGTCCAGGAATTATTTTCTTGTAACTACATTGGAACTGCTATTATTTTTTTAAGTTTAACACGTGGGCACATTAACAATGTATTTTCCTTGTTTATAATCTTGCAATTTATTCTTCATTGCTATGTTGGGAATTAAATTTAATTGAAGACGATTTCTCATTAAAATAATCTGAATGATATTTGAATTAATATATGCAAAACAACCAATTAATCTTTTTGTTCTTTATTTATGGTGGCAAGCTGCTTGCTTTTGCAATATGTGTTTGAGAGCAAATTAAATTTGCTATGTGTCGCCAGTAGAATTTGCTTGCCTTAAAAGCTTACGCACAGTGACAAACAATAGGCTTTATTCAGAAATAGGGAATTGTAGATGATTGAAAAGGGAAGTACAAACTGTAGGACAAAAAACACTAACAAAATATAGATTACCATGTGCACCTCAAGAAATTTCTCATAAAGAACTATATTCTCAACTCGACCTTTGAAGTCATCTCTACATTATTATTATAACACTTATTACTGTTTATAAAGTGTTAACATATTCCGCAGCACTGTACAGCACAGTATATAGACAGCACGGTATATAGACAGCACGGTATATAGAAACCAATACCATAGACCTCCCAACTTCAGTGTTCCATCAACCCAGATACTGGTTGCTGGAGCAGAAAGGTGCAGGCCAGTGACGTGAATTACACTGGTGTCACCAAAAGTGTGACCTGCCCAGAAAGGGAGAGTATCTGCCCAAAGAATTGACGGGTTATCCTGGTATGAATGCGGGGCAGGCTGCTTGACAATCATAAAGGCAAACCAACATAGGGCAGACAAAGCAGAAAGCACTATTTCAGTTCCCTGAGCACAGTGTCAAAGCGTCTAATGATGGGCTCGTGCTATGCTTTTTGGGGACAGTTGGGGTGGTTGGGACCGAATTTTTAAATCGAGACCATTCCACCAAAATCGGGATGGGTGGGAGACATGCAGTACAAAAGGAATGGAGGACCCTGCATGTGAGCTTAGATCTAGCATTTACAGTTCTTTTATACAAAGTACTAAGCTAGATGGCTCATGAGCTTAAAATCGACATGGTTTGGTTTATGTTGCTAGAGGCTTAAAGGCAGTGGTGTATTTGTGCTGCCCTAGGCAGGACGGTGCTCGGGCAACCCCTCCTAATTTAAATTTTCCCCAACCCTTCCTGTCAATGCCGCACTTTGACTGACAGACGCTCACTCACTGACAGACGCACACACTCAATGATAGATGCATACACTCGTTGAAAGACACACTCTCATATACACTGACAAACAATGACATACACACACACTAACTAATTTGACACACTGATAGACAGACACACACTATTACTCGGACACACACTGACAGACTCACACTCACTGACAGATGCACGCACTCACTGACCGACACACACACACACACACATTCACTGACACACACACTTGCAGACACACACTTACAGACACACACACTTAGACACACACACCAGATGTACACACTCACTGACCGACACACACACACACACATTCACTGACACACACACTTACAGACACACACTTACAGACAAACACACTTAGACACACACATACTCACTCACACACACACACACACACACACTTAGACACACACACACATTTCCACCAACACTCACAAATTATTTTTATTTTTTTAATTTAAATCCACTCAGCCTCCCTGGGAGAGCTGGAGTGGATTACTAACCTGTGGTCCAGTGGGGCTGCTGGGCGGGCAGGCAGGGGGCGGACAGGCTGAGTAGGCAGCGAGAGAGCTCTAATCTTCCTGCTCAGCTCCCTCGCCCACCACTTAGTGATGCCAGGAGCCGGAGTGACGTCATATTCCGGCTTGTGGCTTCATTAAGCGGCACGCGAGGGTGAGCATGCTCCCTCGCTGCCCGCTGCCCGCCTCGGGGGGGTCAATAGTGGCCAGCTCTTGAGCCCGCCAGGACACGAGGCAAACAAGGGATCTGCCTGGGCGTTTGGGGGTGGCTTTTTTTGCCGCCCCCTGCAAAGTGCCACTCACTCACAGACACACACACTTAGACACACATTCACTCACAGACACACACACACACACACTTAGACACACACACACATTTCCACCAACACTCACAAATTATTTTTATTTTTTTAATTTAAATCCACTCAGCCTCCCTGGGAGAGCTGGAGTGGATTACTAACCTGTGGTCCAGTGGGGCTGCTGGGCGGGCAGGCAGGGGGCGGACAGGCTGAGTAGGCAGCGAGAGAGCTCTAATCTTCCTGCTCAGCTCCCTCGCCCACCACTTAGTGATGCCAGGAGCCGGAGTGACGTCATATTCCGGCTTGTGGCTTCATTAAGCGGCACGCGAGGGTGAGCATGCTCCCTCGCTGCCCGCTGCCCGCCTCGGGGGGGTCAATAGTGGCCAGCTCTTGAGCCCGCCAGGACACGAGGCAAACAAGGGATCTGCCTGGGCGTTTGGGGGTGGCTTTTTTTGCCGCCCCCTGCAAAGTGCCACCCAAGGCAATGCCTTATTTGCCTCGCGGAAGATACATCCCTGCTTAAAGGACAACAGTCACCTTAACATTATTTTTTTTTTACTATACTGATTCTTTCATGTTGAGATTGCAAATAGATTCTGTGTAAATTAAGTATATGAAGAATGAAAAGGAGAAAAGCTCCTCCTGCCTTTAGTATATCACAGGATCATTTAACCATATCCATACACCTTGGGTCAGACAGTGCTCAAAAAGCACTATATAGCCTTTACATTCTTCCCTGCTTCACTACCTGCAAAGTGCAGTGACAACTGTCTATTCCAAACAAGTCTGACCCAAGACTCATGTTTAGGATCCTGTCATATACTAAAGAGAGTGTTTTTCTAATTTTTGTAATATATACTTTACTTCATTTAACAGATAATCAATTTCCTTGCAAAACTTGATGAAATGATTATTATATTAAAAGATGGAGCTGACAGTTGCCCTTTAAAGGACCACTATAGGCACCCAGACCACTTCAGCTCAATAAAGTGGTCTGGGTGCCAGGTCCCCCTAGTTTTAACCCTGCAGCTTAAAACATAGCAGTTTCAGAGAAACTGCTACGTTTACACTGCAGGATAAATCCAGCCTCTAGTGGCTCTCTCCCTGGCAGCCACTAGAGGCCGCTTCCGCGATTTACACTGAGTAAATCGCACTTATCTGACGCTGGACGTGCTCATGGAGTCCAGCATCAGATAAAATCACCATAGGAAAGCATTGAGTAATGCTTTCCTATGGGCGGGTTTGAATGCGCACGTGCCGCTGGCCACACATGCGCATTCGGCTCCACTTGGGAGCTGACGTCGGAGGGGAGGAGAGGTCACCAGCACCAAGGGAACCCGGCCCTGGATTAAGGTAAGTGGCCGAAGGAGTTTTACCCCCTTCACCATCAAGGGGGGGGGGAGGGGACCCTGGGGGAGAGGGGCTTTCCAAGAGCCTATAGTGCCAGAAATACGGGTTTGTTTTCCTGGCACTATAGGATCCCTTTAAGTTAAGAGCTGTCTCACCCTACATAAAATTGCAAAATGGTTTGACAAGTCAGATATTATTATTACCAACCAATTGCTGGGAACTTAAACAGGCTATTCACTAAAGTGAGAATTCAAAGTAAATATCTAATTTAAGGAAAAAAATAGCTGACAATTTTTCCAATTCATATAAACGTTCTTAAATTTGAAATTCACGTTAAATTCTCGCTTTCGCAAAAAAATCAGAATATATCCCACTTGCCCAATAGATTATTTGAGTACACTTTATCTTATTTAGAAGTATCACTATTTAATTTATCTTCCAAGTTGGAATTAGTGTAGGACCCACCAATATTGGGGTACTGTAAAGTAGTGGAGGGCTTAACACAATATGTCCATATGGTGGAAGTGAATCACCATATATTTTCGAGGAGATAGCGGACTTTAACTAGCCTTATTTAGAAGTATCAAAACTAATATCTTTGTATGTGGCACTATTCCTTACCCACCGATATTTTGTGTAAAGTAGTGGAGGGCTTAACACAATATGTCCATATGGTGGAAGTGAATCACCATATATTTTCGAGGAGATAGCGGACTTTAACTAGCCTTACAAAACTGAAAACTGTATTTTTGTATGTGCACTATTCCTTAATCTGTATTTTGTACTAACACCTGTAGCCACTCTGTCACGGCCCCCGGCTCGCCATCATGTGCGTCCGCGCCCGACCGGCATGACCGCACTAACTCACTGAGCTTACCTGCTCAGCGGTGAGCCGGGAACCATTCCTCCACGCCGCTCAGGAAAATCCAAGATGGCGCCGACCATGAGGTCGCGTCCATCCATGGTTCCACCCCCCAAAATGATATGAACGTGCGCATGACGTCACGACGTCATCGCACGCGAACATTCTGGGGTCAGAGGTCACCCTCTGACCAATCAGAGCCTATAAAGGGATATTTAAATCCCTAATTCATCCCAGTACATTGCCCTGTCGTGGTTTCCTGTTCCTGGTTCCCTAGAGTGAATATTTTGTGAATATTACTTCCTGGTATCCTGATCTTGGCTTTTCCCTGGTTATTCCGAATTCTGGTTCCCCTGACTTGGCTTGTTTAAACGGTATCTGAGTTTTTCTGGCTTCCTTGACCTCGGCTTTCCCTTTGGCCATTCTCTATCTCTAGCGTATTAGTCCGGCCATTCTTTTGTATGTATATGTTTACATAGTTTCTGCGTGTTGGACCACACTAGCAGCCATGACACACTCTTCATAAAATGTACCTAGATTATATTCCCAAAAAGTTCACTGAACATAGTAACCATGAACGCTTTGGATTTTAATAAGTCATATCCAGGCACAGGATGGAGGTCAAGCCAATGACTTATAAGGAAATATCAACACCATCAGTGCCAATAATAATATGGAAGAGATGACACATTCTCTATGCAACACTAAGCAGCTGTCTGATAATGTTTGGGAGCTCTGGCTATTAATGGACTCAGCTGCTCATCTGCTGATGCTCACAACATCTCTCTTTGCCTCCTTCATTCTGTCAGAATCTACTTAGATCATTAGTGACTACAGTCAGGTCCGTAAATATTGGGACATCGACACAATTCTAATCTTTTTGGCTCTATACACCACCACAATGGATTTGAAATGAAATGAACAAGATGTGCTTTAACTGTAGACTTTCAGCTTTAATTTGAGGGTGTTTACATCCAAATCAGGTGAACGGTGTAGGAATTACAACAGTTTGTAAATGTGCCTCACACTTTTCAAGGGACCAAATGTAATGGGACAATTGGCTGCTCAGCTGTTCCATGGCCAGGTGTGTGTTATTCCCTCATTATCCCATTTACAAGTTGCAGATAAAAGGTCCGGAGTTCATTTCAAGTGTGCTATTTGCATTTGGACTCTGTTGCTGTCAACTCTCAATATGAGATCCAAAGAGCTGTCACTATCAGTGAAGCAAGCCATCATTAGGCTGAAAAAACAAAACAAACCCGTCAGAGAGATAGCAAAAACATTAGGTGTGGCCAAATCAATTGCTTGGAACATCCTTAAAAAGAAAGAATACACTGGTGAGCTCAACAACACCAAAAGACCCGGAAGACCATGGAAAACAACTGTGATTGATGACCGAAGAATTCTTTCCCTGGTGAAGAAAACACCCTTCACAACAGTTGACCAGATCAAGAACACTCTCCAGGAGGTAGGTGTATGTGTGTCAAAGTCAACAATCAAGAGAAGACTTCACCAGAGTGAATACAGAGGGTTCACCATAAGATGTAAACCATTAGTGAGCCTCAAAAACAGCAAGGCCAGATTAAAATTTGCCAAACAACATCTAAAAAAGCCTTCACAGTTCTGGAACAACATCCTATGGACAGATGAGACCAAGATTTACTTGTACCAGAGTGATGGGAAGAGAAGAGTATGGAGAAGGAAAGGAACTGCTCATGATCCAAAGCATACCACCTCATCAGTGAAGCATGGTGGTGGTATTGTCATGGCATGGGAAGGCCGGACTGGCCCACCGGAATACTGGGAAATTTCCGGTCCGGTGGCACTCAGAGGGGGCCGGTCGTGTTCCAGGCTGGAGCCGCCGGGCCGGGTGGCAGCTTCGCCGGTCCGGCGGCATTCCTGTCACTGCTGTTGCTGATGGCTGAAGGAGGAGGAGCATGTCTACCATGCTTCCTTGCGGTTCCCACAATTCCCATCACAGGAACCGCGAGGGAGCATGGTAGACATGCTCCTCCTCCTTCAGCCATCAGCAACAGCAGTGCCGCCGGACCGGAGAAAGGGGGGAGGAAGAGAGATGGGGAGGAGGGAGAGACACAGGGAAAGGGGGGAGGAGGGAGAGACACAGGGAAAGGGGGAGAAAGAGGCAGAGGGGGAAGAGAGAGACAAAGTGGGAGAAATGAGAGAGACACACAAGGGGAGGGGGAGAAAGAGGCCGGCCGATCTCCCTCCCTGTTCCGCAGGCACTGTGCAGGCAGCCAGCAGGGGAGGAAGAGAGGACCCGGGGCAACGCTCCGGCTCTCACTAGGGTGAACTCTAGCCCTGGAGCTACAGGCTAGAGTTCACTCTCACCACTTCCTGGTGGTCGCAGTAGTAAGAGTGAACTCTAGCCCCATACACACACTGCCCCCCCACACACACACCATACATATTCACACACTGCCCCCCCACACACAATACACATTCACACACTGCCCCTCCACACCCACACACTGAACCTCTCACACACATTGCACCCCTCACACATTGCACCACTGCTCCTATACCCTACTGCAGCCCCATATCCCAGCAGACTCCAGGTAAGTTTGACTACTTACTCTGGGAGGGGGTGCCGACACTCCTGGCACCATAACCACTACACAGAGGAGTAGTGGTTATTGTGCATGGAATATTACTTTAAATAATCTACAAGTGCCCCTCCCGGCTCAGGCTCTGGATCCGCCACTGGTATTTGACATGTATATTAATGTGTGTATTAGTTATATATATATGTAATTATGCCTATTATATTTACACATATTAATGTACATTTATATATGCATAATACACAGAGAAATTTCATTAATATGTACCATATGTAATGAGCAGATGTTGGCCCAGTCTTGTTGCTAGGTGCATACTCCAGCACAATAACATATTTAAAGTGAAGAGCACACCCACAGGACTTCAAAATAAAAAAGTTTTACAGTTGTGCCCTACATACATTCACCATTTCAGTCCCATTAACAAGCTTTCCTTAATATGTCAAGGTAGTTGGACTGACACATTGATTACATGCAAAGGCACGTCTGCTTAAAATAAATCTGCACTTTTGTTTATTTTGAAGCCTATGAGTGCGCTTTTTACGTTGAAGTACTTTTTAATTTTAAGTTATCTGTTCTAACTCTGTATCTGCACACTATGCTGGCGCGACACATTATGGGGCTGGTAAATATTTTTTTTCCAGGGCTGCTTTTAATTCCCAGTCCGGCCCTGGGCGTGGGCATGTATGGCTGCCAATAGAACTGGTTCTCTTGTATTTATTGATGATGTGACTGCTGACAAAAGGATGAATTCTGAAGTGTTTCGGGCAATATTATCTGCTCATATTCAGCCAAATGCTTCAGAACTCATTGGACAGCGCTTCACAGTGCAGATGGACAATGACCCGAAGCATACTGCAAAAGCAACCAAAGAGTTTTTAAGGGAAAGAAGTGGTATATTGTTTATATAGTGATTGTTTAAAGATTGTTATGGTTACCACTTGATATGTCATATGTGGTCAAATTCTGTTTCACTAAATTTAAAAGAGCACCCGAGATATGGTTTTCAATAGGCTTGAAACAAGGGCATGGACAGCTAAATGTTACCTTTATCTGTTGTTTGTAAATCAAGAAAATTTCTCTGGGAAAGAATCGTTGCTTTTTTTGGTTTTGCTCTATCTGTTGATGAAGACGTGTTGTGGTCTCATGTAGATACCAACTCCATTGTTAACATCTACAGCATGGGTCGTCAACCTGATCCCTACCGCCCACTAGTGGGCGTTTCAGGTTTCCAGGTGGGCGGTAGGGATTTCGGCGGCTAAATCCTCTTTTTAAGAGGATTTCTCCTTTTTAGAGTGGGCGGGCCGGCGCGAGCGTCTTGGGGGCGCAAGATTTCAGTGACCGGCAGGAGGAAAGCGCTCCCTCCTGCCAGGCCACCTTATGGACCCCCCAGCGTGGCAGAGTTCTAATCCGAGGTGGCGAGGGAGCTCTAACCTCTCTGCTGCCTCGCGCGATGTTTGCTGATGCCGCGGGAGCCGTAATATTCTGACTCCTGGCATCTGTAAACAGCCCGCAAGGGAGCAGAGCAGAGAGGTTAAAGCTCCCTCGCCGCCTCGGATTAGAACTCTGCCACCTGCCAAAGTGAAGCCCCACTGGACCCCAGGGACAGAGCCACACCAGCTCTCCAGGTAGGGAGACGGGGTGGACATTTAATATTAATAATTTGTGTGTCTGTAAGTGTGTATGTGTGTGTGTGTCTGTAAGTATATGTGTGTTTGTCTGTGTCACATGATGCCATGTTCTGCGGAAATGTCTGGCTTTGGCTTCTGGTATCCAGTACTCTTTTTACAATTCTTGTCTAGTTTTTCTTGGTTTTCTGGTTTTCTATTCTATGTCTGGTTTTCTTTATGCTGGGTTTCTAGGTTCATATTTATATACCATCCCTGCATTTCCCAGTCTCTTAGATTCATTTAAATGTTTGTTTTATGTTGCCACACCCGTTTGTTTTCCATTTTCCTTTTGTTTCAGTCTAGACCTGCAGGCAGCTGCTCAAGCCTTCTGCCCTTTCTTGCAGGTAAGTGCTATATATGTGTTTCTTATGGTTCTTTTAGTATACGTTAGGCAGAGTAGGACCTGCCGAATATGGGGTACATTGATGTTGTTGGCAGGCTTATGCAATGTATGATCATATAATGTAACTAAATCCCCATACTTTTCATATATAGTGCTTAGTTATGTCTCCTCTTGTTTTGCCTATTAAATCTTGTCTTGTTTTATTTTGTTACCCCAGTCCATGTACAGTCCTGTCCTGTCCTGCCCCTGTTTAGTTAATGTTCCCTTTATGTATTGTGTACATGTTATGGGTTCTGCTTCCTATCCTTCTCTGGTTCTGGGTTCTACTAGTTCTGTCTTGTTTTCATGTTTGGTGCCTGTTCTAGCCTTGCCTTGTTTCTGTACTGGATATGTCTGCTGCAGAGCCCCCCTATCCAGTTCCTGGGAGGTCTGCATATCAAGCTCCTAGTTCCTGGGATCCGCTGTAGCTGCATCAGGGTTCTGGTTTGTGGCTGCACAAACGCTGGTGCTCAACACCAGAGGGCATGTGGTTACCCTGCACCAGGCCCTGATAATCCACTTCCATGCTGAAGACTCCCAACTTCTCATCAGGCACTCAGGAGTCCCGGTTTCCATACCGTCACCCATGACAGTCTGTAAGTGTATGTGTGAGTACGTGTATGTTTGTCTGTGTGTATGTGTTTCTCTGTGAGTGTGTGTGTTTCTGTAAGTTTATGTGTGAGTGTGTTTGTGAATATCATCGAAAGAGGAGACCTTCGTTTGTTCCTTACGAAAATCGAACCAGATATCAAAAATTTTGTCTCGCAGCATCAACTTCAAGGATCTCATTAATCACTAGTAAAGGTAATTCTAATTTACTTTGTTTTCTCATTAAACTTCATAAAGATAAAAACATTATAAACATGCATAAAGTTGACTACCACTGATCTACAGTCTCCTTCCCCATGTTACGGTCAACCTCTAATCCCTTACCCCAACTAGTTGCTGATGCTCCTTCCATATCCCACTTGTCCCATTTACTCCCTCCATGCCTATGTGATTGTTGCCATAAACGTCTTTCTTTCCCATGTTACTGTCCTCTACTGACCGCTATAGACATGCCAATATTAAAATCCTAGGTGTCCCGGATTCAATAGGCCAGGATGAACTGCCACACTACTTAAGGCGACTGACAAAATCACTCCTACCTCACTCTCACCCACGACATAATTGTACGCTGCCATTACATGTCGGACAGGAACTGCTTCCTGGCAGCAGTAAAGGGCAAAACTCCCTTGGACTTTGAGACTTCCAAATTAAAAAATGTTCAAGATCTTACCAGGAATACCCTACAATGGTGGAAGTCACTCGGCACAGTCACGGGTCAATTAAGAGGATGGATTCTATCGAGAGCCCTTATGGCTACAACAGTGTATGGCAGAATACTGAGACTCACCTCCATAACTGATGCCACAGCCCGCAGCATTTCTACAAACACTGGGACTAAACCCACATCCGGATGAGCCCAATACCTCCTCCAACACCCAGTCCTGGGATCCAGCTTGATTGCTGTCCTTCACACCTGGATAGAGAGAAAAGTCGGGTGCAGCGACTTGACCACCCACTATGCCTAACGCTGCATTATGTTAACTTTATTTCTGTTCAACATTCTTACCGTTCATTTAATCTTTTTTTTTTCTCCTGCCTCAACACACAGTAGAGTAGCATTAGGCCTACCTAAGCCTAATTTATTTACGCAGTCAATGCCCCAAGATGGCCCATACCAGCCACACTAGTGCCTGAACCCACGAGATGGTTCGCTATTCCTCCTCACCCGTGTCCCCATCAGTTAGGGGTCATTTATCCACCAGTTAAAATGATCAGTACCTAGTTTGCCAATGACGGTGTCACTTATAGTCACGCCCGACTCACGTACAGGAGAATGAGAATCTCTGTAACCACAGGATGGTCTGGTGTCAGACTAGCCTGTTATAGCAGATGGAGCAGCCCACCATCCACCTATGAGGTACCTGCACCTAACAACAAGAACAACAATCCCCAATCATAACGCACAACTCCAACTGACACACGCACACACAAAAAAAGTAAAAGAGGCACGCTAAAGTTGAATGCTTACAATTGTCAGTGTTGTACTTCTGTGTTCAATCTCAGCTTACTATGTGAACCCTAAATACCTGTAACCTTGCCTCAATAAAGTAAAGATTGACAACAACAAAAATAAATTGTATGCTACAAATGTGAAACAAAAAAAAATAATTAGAACACACATCGTTGCAGTAAATTATGTAAGATGCAGATCTAATAACGGCAGTTCTTCAAGTTGTATAGCTTGATCTTTTAATAAACGTTAATTGCTCAACCCTATGACATAGAATGACATTAAGAATGTGATATATTAATAAATATGGCAATCTGAAATGGCAAGTTTACAGATGAGTTGTAAAATAATGCACAAATAACACCAATATTTTTCATTTGCAGGAGGAAAGGTCACCCAATGACAAGGATTTATTTCTCACTAAACACATTTATTTTAAAAATGCTTTACATTTACATTTAAAAAGCATTGTTCTCCAGCATGTAGCTCACATAATATTTTCTATGATGACATAGGACAATATTTCTCAACCTTTTACAGAGAAGAAACCCTGCAGCTCTAAAAAAAAATTCCTACGTACTCCTGCCTCAAGAAAGAAATTTCTATCGATTTAAATTTCAGATGAAATATGTGACATTGATATTTAAGTTAATCTCATATTGGAGAACAAGCATGATTAAATGTAATAAAGAATATTTTTTTTTAAATAAATCTGACATATTGTGAATATTGTGTATTTAGGGAGGAGTATTAATCTGAAGTATAAAAATCATAAAATACAAATACAGTATAATATACACATCCTAGTTAAACACAGAGAACACACACTAACAGACACACTGACACACACCTTCAATGATTTCACACACACTGACACACACATACACATTCTCTAACAGACACTCACAAATGATTATTTTTAAAATTATATTATTTGAGTACACCCAGCCTCTTTATCTGGGGTCTAGTATTAATCTGGGGTCTAGTATGGCTGAGATTACTGCATTTGGGCAGAGTAGGCACCTGCTGTCCAGGTAAGCAGGTGCCTACTCTGCCTTAGCGCACAGCCAACTGCCTCCTGAGGGGCCTTAAGGTGGCCAGTTGTCCATCTTTTGATGTATCCTCTGCTTTACTTGAGAAACAAAGGTTGAGAAACCAGGTTATAGTGTACTGATCACAGCCAGCTCTGGCCCACCACCATTGGAATTATAAGAAAAAAATGTATTGCCCACTTAGCCAATAAATGGACATAAGCAATCAGCTGTCGTCTATGCCTTAGCATAGTTTCCAAACAAAACTGGAATTTTTCAATAGGTTGATATTTTATATCATGAAAAAAAAATCAAGAATGGGTATAGTTAACATTGTGGTAGATAACAACACACTAGATAAAAAGATACAGGACATAGGACAATCATTGACCATTGATAGAATATAGAATCCAGAGATAAAATGGGGCAATCTCTTCTTTCTGTTTTCGTTTAATCTCATTTCTGTTGCTATCACTTTATCAACGTCTCACTCTGTTGATATGTTTTGTTTTCTTATGCTTTTTTCCCAGATATGATCTCTAACAAACACTGGGCCCTTTCCGAATTTGGTGATTTATGTAACGTCTTAATACAGTTGGTCCCATCAGGACTTAGTCAAAGGCTTAAAAAAACAGGGGCAAGGGCTAATGCAGCCACAAAATGTTTGTTTTTGCTTAATTTATTCTTATGTCACATTAAAACAGATTTTGTAATTTTTATGAGTTAGGTATGTTGTTTATAAAAAAAAAAGTTAAAATCCATTAACATCTATTTTCATTTCAGGTTTAACATTACAAAATGGGGGAGTATTCAAGAGAGGTGAATATTTATGCAAGGCTCTTCCAGCACTACTGGGTAGGGTACAGATGTTTCCCCAGATATGCCAATTTAAATGTTACTATCATTAAGAAAATTTTTTATTTATTCACAAAGCACCTATATGAAGAACATCTGTTATTGGTGGTACTCAACAGATAACTCATTAGCATTATGGTGAGGGTCACTAAACCCCATTAATACAATTTGAGGATTAAACCGATTCCTGTTTCCTTGACACTTAATTTACAATGAAATATGTGTTTCCATCATCAACATGAAAATATAGTTGCAACCAGAACTTTTATCTGTGGAGTTTTTTTCAATTAATAAGACTTTGCAGGTAAATTGTGGGCTAATTGATTTGTCCAGGTATAGATTAAAAGGAATTTGATCTGGCTGAAACTAATTTTGCACAAGTATATTATCAAGTTTCATCAGAACAGGATACCAAGATAAGATTACTGAAATTCAAATGAGTTCGGTTGGATCCATTCATAGGAAAGGGTTTACAATAACTTAAGGTAAATCTGATGAGAAACTGTTCATCATTTTTCCATCTAATTTGGCTCTCACATAAACAAGTGGTTAGAAGATGCTGGCCCGTCCCTAAAAGGGTTTATTCTCATAGAGGAATTTCACAAACTACCATTTATAGCTAATAAAAAGGGTAAATACATTAAAGTCTAAATCTAAATTTATGTAGAATTAAATTTTGTCTATATTATGGCTATATAATCATATAATCTGTATAAGAAACTATACATTTTCCCATCCTAGGATGGGAAAACTGAGATACAGGATGCATGTGACTCTAGTTTGTCTTTTATATACGTAAATACCAGTGTATATGTTGGCAAAACAATACAAAACATCAAAGAAACATCAGTCAACCATTGGAACCCAGATATTAGATCCTTCTGTCCCTATACACTTTGCTAAAGCTTGACATAAGATATTTATGGTTAAAATTCCAAATCACCGACCATGTTTCCAAGCTAATACGAGTAGGCACCAGACTTAAAGTATCGAAACAAGAGCAGCTAACTTGGATCAAGTTATTAAATAGGTTAGAGCCTAAAGCTATGAAGAGATAGTATAACCAGTCTCTTTTCTTATGAATAACTACTGGTTTGAGTTATTTTTAAATCGTTTTCTTGCTTTTCTCCTGTACAGGTCTTTAAACAATCATATCCATCGAAGACTAGTTTTCCTTATCATTGCGGAAGTCTTCCTACACTTGGCAACAAAATTCCTAGTTCCTTTACCCTCTCACCACTTTTAGCACTGATACAGTATCAGAGGAACTGTCCCACACAAATCAGGATGTCTGTGTGACGAAGTGCCCTTCGCCACTTGTGCCTGGAGAGGACTGCTTGCCCGCCTCTTGCCCTGTGACTATGGCCCCTGGGATGTATTGCCCTTTAAAGACATGATTTGGGCATAATGGATTTGTGTTGTGCTGCTGTTGGCCTTTTAAGAACCATCTGGGGACATACTGTGGAGTTACTGGGTGGCCACCATTTCCTGTATCAGAAGCACATGGTGAGAACAATGGATGGTGGCCATTTTAACTCACAGACACTGTTTGGACTTTTCAACACGGTGCCATCTTGCCAGTATTTGGTGCACAGAGACATCGTGCAGTGGTTTTGGACTATACAGCAGGGGACACATTATATAGTGATTGTTTTTCATTTCGCCTGTATGTGTTCTGCAGAATCTGCATTAAACTGTATTTTCCAAGGTACTGAACGGATCTGGGTGAATTTTGGATATGTGGTTCACCCAGATCCCCCGGTTCCAAGGATATACTTTTTATGGAGTTATTGCATGTTTTGGGGTCCCTGTGTGTTTTATGAAACTGTATTATTTCTGGCCAGCAGATAATTGAGCTTTGTGTATTGTAGAAACTCAATTATCTAGCCTGGCCCAGAGGAGGAGTTTTGTGTTGCATAAATTGTGAGTTCTGTGTGCCAGTAAATCAGTCTTGTTCCAGCATTAAGCCTTGGCTCATGTTTGGGGGAAGGGATACCTACACTCTGGGGATTGCTATAATCACTTACTCCCCAGAGGAAGCTCTTGCAATAGCTTGATTTGTTCCTGTTCCTGCTCTCTGGGGAAAGAGAGGTTCACCCACTGGAAGCTGGATCCTGGCCTTGGGTCCAGGGTGGGTGGAAACAGCAGAGACCCCGGCGCAGTTGCATCGCTGGAAGTGGGGTCTGCAGTGCTGATGGTGTCGGTTGGAGTGCTTGGAGTCCTCGGCAAGCGCTAGGAGCATCGATTGGCGGAGGTACTCAGTCGGAGTGCCAGCGTTCCGTCACAGTCTGTACCAATTTTTCTTTTTTTGAAATATAAGCAAATATGAATAAAAATGTAATAAATACAGAATTACTGTGTAAGTAACAAAGTCTGCGTTTTATCATAAATAATTCATGAATGGATTTCTAGTTTGGAGTAATTTTAAAATAAGACATTTGTTATATTGGTGTTATGATTTTACCTAGGACTGCCTGAAATTCTCAGGCATTTGTGTGCCCTGTGCTGTATGCGGGGTTGTTGAATGTCTCGTGCAGAGAGACCTTGCTGGCCTTTTGGTTCTCATCTACCCTTATGGGTGGGATCAGTCTGATGTGCTCTGGAATAGATTTTTTTCTGTAATGGAAAAAGTGAGCAAAAATTATTTTGAGACCCGAGTGGGGATTTACCAAAGGGCAAGCTACTGAGTTTCCCTAAGCTTTTGTCTGTGGCTAGTGCAAGACTAGAGGGTTTGCGACCAGAAAAAGACTTTGTCAAGCTTGACCCGATTTACCATAATTATATGAAGAGTGAAAGTGGTGGGGGGGGGATGGCAAACCAGTAACATGTCTGTGATCTTACTCTTTCTCTGCTATTTTGAGCAAATTTGATAAGCCCTTTGTGCCATACACACTTTATTTACTTAGTTATTTGCACTTTTACACTTAATTACTTATTGCTTGATTAAAGGACCACTATAGTGTCAGGAAAGCAAACTCGTTTTCCAGGCACTATATAGTCCTTAGGTCCCCCCCACCCTCAAGCGCCCCCTCCCACTGGTGACCTCTCCTCCCCCTCTGACGTCAGCTCCCGAGTGGAGCCAAATGCGCATGCGCGGCCAGAAAGCTGATACTTTTAAACAGCACTGATATTGCTTCCAGGATCAATGCTGATTTACCCTTGCCAGGGAGGAATTGTTACTTGCAGTAGGCAACCGATATTTTAGAACGACATACTACATGGAGAGTGACGATCCATGCAGTTATTCGCTGTAATAAATATAGAATAATACATGGTTCAGCTCCGTGATGTTCGAGGGCGGGTCCTTAAACTTGCCCAGAGATTAGTGGCAGATACCATCCCATGTGGCAGCTGCCACAGTATAAATTAAATAGCTGTTTTCTGGGACTGTCACTCCCAGTAATCCCATAAACCACAAATATTTCCCCCTTAACTCCTTATTCTACACTTCACTTAACCTTAAAGCTCTATCACATCTCCCCACATTTCAAAAATTTGTAATAATTCATAAAGATAAAATATTTATGAAATGCTCACATTAACTCTGTTGGAATTTCACTGAAATCCCAACCCATTCAAAATATATACAGAGACAAGAGCCGTCATCAGTGCCAGCTAAGGGGAAAAAGAAAAGGCTCCATCTACAAGGGACCCTGCAGTCTCATGAGATTCTTCATTGACGTCAGTCTACGCATGAGAGTACAGCGCTGATGGAGGCTCCTTGCAGCTGAAGCACCAGGAGCTGAGGAAGACTGGCAGGAAGAAGTTGGCAGACGCTGCAAGGGACAGGTTCAGGCAAGTATAACTCACCTTCCCCCGCATTGTCAAAGGGTTTTTTCAAATAATGCAAACACCCCAGATGGTGACAGAGCCGCTTTAACTCTTTCCCCATCACTAACATTAACGAAGATCCTCAGATGTTTTAGAACTACAGCTTCCATGATGCGTTGTCATTCTAAAGGCATTCTAAATGCACGCAAAGCATCATGGGAGTTGTATTCTACATCTGGTGATCACTCCTGCCCTACACTTTTCCTAGCCTAAAAATATCACGTAAGATTAATTATACATAACAGCAAAGTAGAGACATTTATAAATCATTCAACCATCAGTCTCATGTTTTATAATGAAGTCTATAGAACACTTCAATTATTTGCCCATGACACACAGTTATTTATCCTCTCTCTTTCTCCATCTCTCTGCACCCACTTACAAATGTATGAAGTATATATATCAATACATAGATCTGTGTAATTAGATATTATCTCAGACATCCCTTTTATGTATATCTGCCCATTCCTTGATACCGATTGCTCAGTTACTCCCAACCCATTCTCCCAGACTCCTCCTGGTCAGTCTATCCCTTCAATGCACTAGTCAGATCTGTTAAATGTGGGAGCAAACTCACAGGAAAAGAGATATGGAGAACAAAGGCAGCAAAATGCCTGGTTTGTGTGGTTTCTCACCCTGCACAGGGCATTAGGTAGTGTGAAAGATCCCTCTGTATAAACTAAGATTGCTGGATTCGTCTGTTTTGCTTTTTTCACGAAATTACCCGTTCGTATGCCTTTGTTCAAGTGAATTGACTTTTCTGCCGAACAAAACTGCCGAACGGACGGCCACCCAGAAGAGAAGTGTGCTGCTGGTTAACTTATTGATCCCAATTAGAACGTTGCGGTTAACCACAGATACTTCTCAATTAAAACCGAATACAGGGTGGTCGTCGTTCGTATGTCGACCACGAGGCGGCGGCCATTTTAAACCATGCGAAAGACCAGCGGTGTTCGGCATTGATTTCATGGAACTGAAAACTGACACTTTTTCAACCGAACACCGCTGAAGCCGTCGACCTCCCTTCTCAATCGACAGAAGTGTGCGAACATCGGCCATTCGGGAGGTTTAGATGCACGAATGGACTTACAACAGATAGCCTTCCCATGGAGTCAATCGCATACTGAAGAACTGTAATAGACTTTGACTCCATGGCGATTGAACTATGCATATGGGATCTGAGCGCTATTCGCCAATAATATGCACTCAGATCCAGGCTATCTGGGGATATGTGATACGAATGGATAGTATTCGACAAATGGAAAGTTATCTATTTTTATGTGTTGAATTTAAAATGGCGATTTGCCTCTGTCCTGGAGATAATTGAATTACTTCTCAATTATCTCCAGGGCAGAAGGGAGGAATTACTACTGCATGCTGGGAATATTTTGTGTCTGTGGGTCCTAAACTGCCATATGTCTATCTGTTGTCACAGTCTCCCATTTGGTCCCCTAGGGGAGTGTCCACCAAGTGGGAGACCTGCATAAATACGGGCACGTAGCCCACAGTAAAGCCAGTTCTTGTTTTACCCTCAATGCGGAGCTTGGTCTCGTTATTGGGGGGATGTTATTACCGATGACTAGAGACTGCTAGATGGGATTATTAGCCGCTTGGGAGATACCTGCGTTCGGCTAATATTGGCGATTCGTGAGTCTGGAGCTCGTGGAGTGAAGTGCCCGTACGGATCCCGTTCGTGAGTTTGCAGTGTTCCCTTGCTTGCGGTTCGCATGATTATACTGGATACTTATTGCGAACGGGGAACATTCACTAAACGGTGGTTTGTACATTTCATGCTGAAGGTACCGTAACAGGTAGTAATAGTTACCATGATTTATTGGCATCCCAACATTACCAAGCAGGATGTCCACATTACCCATTGTACCACCACCTTCATGGCTTAATAAATGGCAATTATTCTCCATGTATTCTAGCCAGGAAAATATCTCCGTTGATAACATTATATTATATTATGAAGCCAAACACTAAGTCAGAAAGCAAAAGAACTTCTTTCTCAACAGATCTCAGAAGTAAAAGGAAGTAAATTGAGAAATGGATATGTTGCAATTAAGATAATGCATATATCCTCATATCCTGTCATAAGTACATCTTTTACATGTAAACAAAACAGTAGCAAAGTGACTTTTTTTTCTAATAAGTTTATTTAAACATATTACCAAAATCATCCTTTTGGCAAATAATGACACTGACTGCTCATTCATCACATAAAGCACAGTGCCACATATTCATGTAAGTAACTTATTTTAATCTTTTATTTATATTTTTCATTTAGTCCTTTTATTTTTATTTAATTCCCTGTAAGAGGCACGTATGTCATCTTTCTTCCGCTTTCTGATGTTTGCTTTGAAAAACTACTAGACATTTTAAACATGTCTACTTGCTTTTATGCATTGAGTTGGTACATGATTGCCTGATAAGAGATCATATATATATACACACACAGACTGATTAGCCACAATATTAAAACCACAGACAAGTGAAGTTAATAACATTGATTTTATTGTTACATTGGCACCTGTCAAGCAGTGGGATATATTAGGCAGCAAGTGAACAGTCAGAGCTTGAATTGTGTTGGAAGCAGGAAAAATGGACAAAGATCTGAGTGACTTTGACAAGGGCCAAATAGTGATGGCTAGACAACTGGGTCAGAGCATCCCCAAAACTGCAAGTGTTGTGGGGTATTCCCGGTATGCAGTGGTTAGTATCTAACAAAAGTGCAAAAAGGAACAACAACTGGTGAACCAGCATCAGGGTAATGATCGCCCAAAGGCTCATTGATGCATGTGGGTCCTCCTATCTGGTCCAATCACACAGAAGCCGTAGACCAGTCAGAGTGCCCATGATAACCCCTATCCACCACTGAAAGCGCCTTCAATAGGGATGTGAGTGTCAGAACTACACCCTGGAGCAATGGAAGAAGGTTGCCTGGTCTGATGAATCAGGTTTTCTTTCAGATCAGGTGGATGGCGGGGTGCATCTGCATCGTTTACCAAGAGATGGAAGTAGGATGCATTATGTCAAGAAGGCAGGTTATGTTCTAGGAAATGTTCTGCTGGGAAACCTTAAGTCCTGCCATTCATTTAAATATTTCT